TGCTATGGAGAGACTACCAGCCAGAGTGTGTGCCCAAGGATTCAGTCGACTCAGTTTAATGTTCTGCAAAGAAGTTTAGCAAATAGCCATTCAGCCAGAACGGTGAGCCAAGCTTCTTGGGAACAGCAGGGCAGTCTGGCCTTCATTTTCACATGAAAGATGCAAAGCACTTGGACTTTTCTCAGAGGCTACTGGACAAATGCCCACGTCCCCTTCCATATCAGGTGCCCTGTCAGCTAGTGCATCCCATTCTCTTGGAGCTGTTCTTTCCTGATCTATGCTGTACCTCCTCTGCCAGACGTAAACTGTTTCCTTTTGTAAAATAGAGTGTATTTAAGTTGAGGTGAGCCCTTGGCTTAGAATCCTTAAGTAAAGTGCAACTGAGGTCATACAGAAATGTAGGTGGAAAATATTGCCGCATTTCACAATACTGTCATTCTGCACCATCTTAGCATAAAGAGTCTTTAGGAACTAGGAATCTGTTACTCAAAAATTTGTAGTTCAAATGCATAGTTCATGAAATTCAGGTGGAGCTTAAAGTTTGCTTTTCCTTTTTTTAGGGCAGTGTAAGCCAGTTGTTAGGCAGTGTTTGGTAGTCACATTGATGTTCTAAATAAGAAATGCTTTCCGTAAAAGAACAAAATTTAGCATGTTTCCTTTTGCAGTACTTGTAATATACATATGCTAATTATAAATGTGCTTATATATTTATTAAAGCAAATAAGTATATGTACCATGTAACAGTTAATTAGGCTGATCCTGATTAATAAAATCAAAAAGTTTGTTCAAATGCTACAAACTAGCACAAATTATAATGTATAATTCATGTCACATATTTAAGCTGGGCATTTCCCAGATTAGCCTTTATTAACAAGGTTTGTTATGGAAACAAAATTTATTGCCTTAAATTTAAAGCCTACTATTTTTTCTATACCCATTCATTCTGCTAAAGGCCCCTTTCTTTGTTATCAGTTTTGAACTGAGCTCACAATCCTCGAAAGCCTCAAAGTCCAATGTGTTTCAGAATTTAGAGTTTTTAGGAAGTAGGAAGTTGATATTATTCATGCACTGTATATTGTCCGACCCTGTAATCCAATGATCAAATTCTGCAGTGGAATTCAGGCATATTCACACTAAAAAGGGTCATCGGGAACTAGAGATAGCCTCACATCTGTTCAAATAAATTTTTGCCACTGTACACATGTGTTACAAACTTAGAAGAAAAAAGTTTTAACTTATGAAAAGTATTTAATCTTCAGCAATTTTTGATTTTGGAATACAGATAAAAAAAGAAATTTTCTCACTATAATGTAATGGTATAAATTCGTCATTACAGAGTATATGATAAAAATGACAGCACCTTAAATTTATAGCCACTTTGTAGTTGGAAACATTTCCCATGGATTATTTACTTGTGTAAATAAATCCCTTTGGATACAAGGGCATCTTTACTTGTGGAAGGTACCTCATGTGACATTGGCACAGCAGTGGCCAAGGTGGTAGATACCTCCTGCACAGAAAGTCGGGAGATGTAGAAAGTTGTCCTGAATGCCGCGCTCTCCAGTGGGAACATGGTTCTATGAGGTAGTCTGCGCTTGTGCTTGTTTCTTAAGAATTCACAATATTTGGGGGAGAAAATATGTACAAATAATTTCAGTATTTGAGCTTGTTGCTGAATTCTCTCACCGTGGTTTTCTGGAGACACACACTTTTCCATACTGGCTTGAATCATCTGTGTACCAGGCAAGGTTTCTAAGATGTAAAACCAAGTGAAATATGACCATTTTGTTTGTTTAGAAAAGGCTAAGACTAACGATGGGGAAAATAGCATGTTTAATGAAGCAGTGTTCCTCTGTATGAAAAGCTAAGGAAGCCTAGAAGTTATGATGATAGAAGGCCGTGTCCTGAGGCTAAGTGAGGCATCGGTGCTTTGACACCCACTTCTGCCAGGAGTGCACAGTCTGCCTGTGGCCAGAAGAAGCCTCTTGAAGATGGGGTTCATTATCACCACAATATGGGAACCTGTTTTAAAATGTTTGCACTGTTGCATTCTACCCCAGAGTGTATCATTGTTTGTTTTATATAAGAAAATAAAATTGTTCACCGTTAATTAAAACCCAGTCTTAAACTTTTAGGGTTACTTTTTTTCCAACTTTGAGAGGCATAGGGTCTTAGGATATTGCAGCCCAGAGCACAGAATTCTCCTTAGAATTTAAAAGGACCCTTCTGCACAGCCTGTGTTTACTTTGCTACATATGAGCTCCTGAGGTCCTTTCTGTAGTCTTAAATACAGTTCTAAGTACCTACCATGTAGCATTTCGGAATTAACATGATTGAGAAAGACAAAATAAACTTCAAATGGAGATTTCCTATTTGAGGCCCAGGTGAAAATTACCTGTCTACTTCTTCTTTCAATCTCATTAAAATAGGAACTCAAACCAAGAAGTTACAAAACTTTGCACTTTTTAAAAAACTTTGCACTTTTGTGTGAGCATTATGAAAATATGGTCCCACAACAAGCTGGTCCTTCTCAAATATGAGTACAGAAGTGACTTATTTATATGTTGAAATTTCAAAACATTTCAAAGGCCTACCATGTGTGTTGTGCAAAGGTTTTCACTCTAAAAATTATTTTGTTAGATAACCCTGTTTCAAGTGACAGTATGATTTATCACCATTAATCAAGATTCTGATGCCTCATAGACTTCTTGTTTGTATCTGTTTTTGTTATATAAATATGAGGTTTATATATAAAATTCTGACTGTGTAATATAGGGCTAATGAGTCACAGATGGAAAGATGCTGGCACATTACCACCTAATAACATTTTAAACTCATATTCCATAGTAAAAACAAAAGCAAATTGTACACATCTGTTTTTCAACTTGTGGCATCTCTGAGTTTGTGCAGAGTCGATGTTAAAAGGACTTTTACTTAGGAGGAAGCGAAAGAGGACACAGGTCACCTCAAAACTGCCCAGCCACTTAATACCCTTATCAGAGCAGATTTGGCACAAGGGATAAGATTTCCTTTGCCGGGCTTCAGGCTTCCTGAGAGGTCTTGGCCCAGAACAACGAGAGGCGAAAGCAATAGGGCCGAGCCATGTCTTCACACTGCAAACCTAATTTTATTGACTGTCTTAAAAAGAAAAACATACCCTCGCACCAGGAAAATAAGGAGGAAATACCCACTAGTAAACTAATAAAATTTAAAACCTAGAAACTTCCTGCCCTTTCTTGAAAAGTGCCCTCAAAATAGAACTGGGTGAGAAGCAGCCACGGAAATTGGCTGTGATGGTTGTTTACTTATTAGTAAACATGGTCTGTGTTTGGTAAATGGAAGAAAAGACTCTGGTTTCCCATGTTTTTAAAAAAGAAATGGAACAAAGTCAAAATTTCTCTCTCAGATTTTCCCAGTTGATAACGCCTATGTGGACAACTAGTGCCAGTTGTTGCAGTATGAATTTCTGAAACGCCTCCCTGTTCTCCTCGGTGAAGAGTCCCAAACCTCTTTTCTTTTCTGTTTAAGGGGTTGTGTGAACTGTCAAATTCTTTGGAAAAGTTATGTGACAGAAATGATTACTTCAGAGTGTGACCGTAAATCCCCCTGACATGAAATCCACATGTTATAAGAGACAGATTTCCATCTACCGCCTCACACAAGTTCCTGAAATAGGGCAGACCTGAGAATCACTGCACAATCAGAGAGAGACATTTTGATTGTGGGTGGTAACGCTTTTTTTTTGTGAGTCCAACTGTGTTTATTCTATGGAATACTTCTGATATGACAGTAAACTTCGGTTCACTTTTGATCAAAAGCATTAATACATGTACTATATGTCCTAATTTGTAAGCAGAATATCAATAGACGGAAACGTGTGTTTTCATAACAATGTCTGAAGTTATCTCCATTTTGTACTAACCTTTTGAAAAAAAGATTGCAGAAATATTAAGAGCTGTAAACACCAGAGTGTGCAGAGAGCCCCCCGGTACCTTCCACAAGGAGTGGAAACCAAAACCATGGGTTCTTAGTCTCTCCGAACCGTGCTTTGAGTAATGGCTGGTTCACCTGTGAGCCTTTTTTGTGTCTAATTCTGTTATGGGGTGCTCAGAGCCCAAGTGAGGACAGGGAGGTTTTAGTGTGTACTTGTTTTGTTTGTCCACCAGTGAAATGTCTGTGTGACGTTTTGTGTCGTGTTGTTTTGGTGTTGTGCCTTGTCCACAGGGCCTGCCAGGCTTCCCCACAGTTGCTGCCCTACACAGCAATCAGATCCTCACCGTCAAGGTTTGTGGATGACTCTCATGTTTGCTCAGTCAGAGCTGCAATCAGCATAAGGGTCAGCAAGAACCATGCAGTGGGCTTTCCCAACTTCTTCTGCTCATGTCAGCTGACCATGTTGGGCACCTGGGAACTCCTGTGTATCAGTGAGGTCAGATATGTTCTCCTGAGTACCCGTGAGGAGGGTAATGAGGTCAAGCAGTGAAGTGCAGTGAAGATTGGAGACGTGGCTGCCTGGGAGAGTACTGCATCTCCACGGCAGAATTCGCATGCATTTGAGTGCTCTATGATGCTTTCCAGACAATTAATTCAAAGTACTCTAATCTTTGGTTCGTGCCACATTATGCTGGTTGACAGGTCTGACGGAATGGAACTGGTGCTTCATCTGTAGACTTTCTGCTCAGAATGCTGAATGTGGGGTCACCCCAGTTCACTTGCTTCTGGAAATAGACATGCTAAAAGACCGAACACCAACATCAAAATGATGGGGTACAAAAGGGATTCACTTCTAATTGGAAGTCTGGACTCGTGCCATTTGGGGGTTGTCTTTTTTCCCAGAAGCTGAGCGTCTGTTGTCAGACACAAGTGCCGGTTCCATTTTATTTAATGATCGTTACAAGTCTAATGTATATATCTTTATTTCTTCCTCGGGGTCTTCTGATGCTTATTCTTCAACTCTCTCATCTCTGAACTTCAACCTTTGACCTCACCTGACTGATCAGATGGTGTTTCCTAAAATCAATCATGGCTTTCTCTCTGCTGATCAGCAGCTCATTAAACGCCGCCTGATTAAGGTAGTGCTGCTTCTTGCTGGGATCTGATTTCTTCTTTATGTTCAGTTATTGCTTGGGTACTGATGCTTTGCATTTATCTTTCGTTTGTGGGGCCTGGGTGGTGGGTGGGTCTTTGTAAATATCCCAGGGCAAAATTATGTTTAGTGACTTGCATCTGACATGTGTGTGGAAGTAGCAAAACAAAATGGTCCAAAAAGCCCATCAATGTTTTCTTTATTAAAAAAATAAATAAATTATAAAAGATATAGTTCCTAAGCTCTCCAGCTTTAATAAATTATAAATCTATTATGCAATACGGGCAAGGGCCTATGATGCCTAATCTTAGAGGTTATCAAAGTAAATACATTTTTCAAATTGTGAGTTCAGCCATCCATTCATCAGGGGGAATATGACTGACGCAGCATGGCTATAGATACAAAGACTTTCTATCAACTCTGAATACTGTAATTACTCACACCTCTGAGAGCTGCGATGCTGGGTTTAGAGCTGATTTGGTTTTTATAGCATCTGTTCAGCTCTCCCAGGATAAAATTTGCTCCCTGCTGGCAACATTGTCTATAGGTTTCATATTTATGGCTCTCCTAATGTAAATGAGGATTAGATAATATGAATTTAAAGTGCTGAAAAGATAATCTGACTATTAATGGTTGTTGTCGATTCATTCCCTTCCTGTTCCAGGGTGACCAAGGACAGGCGGGGCCTCCAGGACCTCCAGGTCCTCCCGGTCCAAGAGGCCCACCTGGGGACACAGGGAAGGATGGTCCCCGTGGAATGCCAGGAGTGCCCGTGAGTTTCTTCTTTGATCACTGTTCCCATGGATTTTGTTTCATGTTACGGGGTGAAAACTCTGATGGAAGAAGGTAGCCAGGGGCTAGAGGGCAGAGGGTCAAGTGATTAGAAGAGGCTGATGGAAGTGGAATGGTAGGACCATCCTCAACTATTGCAGGACACCCCTGACCACTCAGTGCATGGAGAACGCAAACAAACTAGAGCCCTGAACGCAGCAACTGCATGGGTTTTCAGGTAAGCCTTGGGAAGCTTGTGGTGAGAGATGCCCAGTATCGCCCAGGTCCTGCCTGGTATGTGCATGCCTTTGGGTTAAGTGGGATATTAGTCTGAAAAATAAAACCAGAGATTGATAAGACTTTCTAAAAGGCCACTAGCAGACACAATTAAGTCCCATACTATTTATGGAAAGTAAATAAAATCTATTAATATTTAATCACTTGTAAATAACTTAGCTAAAAATGCTAAGAACAATAAAATTAATGAGTTAAATAGCAGGGGTATGATCGTATTATCATCTGTCCTTTGTATGTAAGGCTTAGCTAATAGAAATTATTTACAAGTGATCTCAGCACTAAACTAGCCCTATCAGAAACAGAAATATGGAAAACTGATAAATGATTTGGTTTGGTACAGGCAACACAACAATTAAAGGAATATATGGATAATAATTCAATCACTAGGTTGATATTAAGATTTTAGGACTAGAATTTAAGGTTTATTGCTGAACTTGTTTGCTAAAAAGTAGAAAAATTTGAAAATTAAGAAAAACAATTAATGTCATTGTTTATTGTCTTTGCATTTTAATTCACATATCTTTGGGGGGTTTTTCCTAACAATGATTCTGTGTGTAAGAACACAGGGCATGTTAACCTTTTTCGCAATCACCTTCTCAGAAGCCCTGTTTCCCTTTTGGAAAGCTGTTGTGTGTTTGCTCATAAGAAATGAGGAACTGACTCAGCACACAGCTGCTGCTTGTTAGGACCGTTCCCTGAACGTTTGTAGGTGGTGACTTCACCCTAAACCTGACTGCTTAATGTCTCATCTTCTTCGGCTGATGCACCTGAAGAGAGCCTTCCACAGCTGTGGGGGTATTGATAGCTCTCACTAACTGCTAGTCACTACACAGATTGTCTTCAAATAAACTAGTTAAAAGCATTTGCGAGCCAGACATGGCTGCTTATTCCTATAATCTCATCACTCAGGAGGCAGATGCAGGAGGATTATTGTAAGTTCAAAGGCAGCCGGGGCTACTCAGTGAGTTCCAACCAGTCTAGGGTATGGTATGAGAACCTGTTTCAAAAACAACCAAAACAAACCAAGACAACAAGCACCATCATTTTATTGTTAGAAAATTAGTCAGATCATCAAATATTATATATTGTAGCAGAAATAAAATGTATGCTAGAAGTTACTTTTAGGAGCTGAGGAGATGGGTCCATCAGTAAAGTGCCATGTGGGTGGGAAGACCTGAGTTCCATCCCCAGCACCCCTGTCAAAGCTGAGCACAGCAGCATGTGCTTGTAACTGCAGCTCTGGCGGGATCCTGGTGCTCCCTGGCCAGCCAGTCTCACCAAATCAGCAAACTCCAGTTTCGGTGAGCGACCCTGCCTCAAAAAACAAGGTAAAGTGTGATTGAAGAAGACGCCCATCAACCTCAGCCTTTTCTACAGAGATAAAGTTCTAAAGAACTCCACAAATAATGGTTTGACTTTTATTTATGATCTCAGAGTTAATTTGTAAATACTGTCATAACTACTAGAAAAAAGATTTTATAAAAGTACGCTGGAAAACACTTTGGAAGACCAACAGCATCTACATATATTGTAATTTCAGGCACAGATCTCTCAAAAATATCAGTTAGCCAGAGGCTGCCCTAATAATGTGACACAATATTATAAAATGAGCATGTTAAAACACGACAGGGTTCTATATTAATCTGATCATTGGAAAACAAAATGGCCATATGAAACAGCAGCAGATTCTCTACCAGTTTTGATAAAACAATTTACTTCATCTCTGATTGATTCAAAGCCACTTCTAGTACATTTTGTTTTTTAATTCCTAGTAAGAGGCACTGTCTCTGAGTTCTATCTTTATATCACCATGGGAAGACATAAGAATCTAGACTAATTTCACTAAATCCTAAAATGCTTATAAAAGTACATTCAAGAGAAAGAATATCTGCCCTTTGTACTATGTTTATATTCTATTTATTCTGAAAAAAATGTTGTTGATAATCACATGGCCAAGAAAGTCTTAGGAAAAGAAAAAAGAAAACACTGAAATTGTTTTAAAATGTTTTCTCATCACTAAAGTTCTGATTGCTTTTTTAAAGGGTGAACCAGGAAAGCCAGGGGAACAAGGTTTGATGGTATGTATCTCAATTTTTTTTTAAGATTAATAGAAAGCCAGGTTATTTAAAACTGTGGTCAAGGTTGTATGTGAGTAATTAGTCATTTTGTATGACTCATAATAAAAACAGTAAAATATGTGAAAGTTAAAAGCAATATTGCACGCTGAGGACCTCAAGCCTGCCTATCCAATAGAAATGATACAGGAGAGAAAAAGAGGAGATTCCAGGTAGAAGAGTGGAGAAAGGTGACGCAGAGGATCAGAGAAGCTTTTGTAAGAAACTCTGGTGAAGAGATTAAATCCAGAGGTGAACCCACGTTGTGCTAGAGGGATGGCACAGTGGGTAAGAGTGGCTGCTATGCAGGTGTGAGGACCTAAGTTCAGACCCCCAGCTGGGTGCAGCCACATGAGCTACAGCACAGAAATTAGGGAGGACAATGGGATGGCTGGGTCTTGTGCAACAAATCTTGTACAGTAGTTTAGAGTTTTCGTTTGTTGAAGGGCTCCAATCAGAGAGAATCAGTTGTGCTCTTTGGATCTCTGCCATTCAAACCAAAACAACACCGAAAACCATGTCATGAAATGATTTCACATAATATTGCACATTCCTTGTGGTTTGTTGATCCTTTGCCAGCATAGAAATATCATGTGGGCTCACTGAGCCCTAAACAGTGCAGCACCTTCAACTGCTTTTTCCCCCTTTTTTCTTTCAAGTTGCCTTTTTAACTTGAGTTTTTATTCTGAACACTGTTGAGAAACAGGATGATCCTTCTGTTTCCCAAACACCCATCTGGGATGCAGAATGAGTAGGTCCAAATGGCTGGCTACAGAGGGAGCCAGCAGGTAAGCTCAGTAAGCTTGTTGGTGTCCATGTTCACAGTGCACAGAGAGCTACATCTAAATTGTATTTTAATCCCAGCACTGGGAGGCAGAGGCAGGCGGATCTCTGTGAGTTCAAGGCCAGCCTGGTCTACATGGTGAGTTCCAGGACAGCTGGGGCTACAGGGAGACCCTGTCTCAAAAAAAGACCAAA